AAACTGATACTTGACTAGGGCTGCTATACTCCAGACAAAGTGAGAGTCAGTACTGACTATCTTTCGGAGAGTCGCTCATACACTCGCATGACTCTTTTGCGATAGGAGTCGGGGGACTCTTCATAAAAGGAGGGTCCTCACAACTCTTGTTACAGAGTCACGAGGATTACCAGGAAGGAGTCGTGTGACTCTTTTTCTCCGTTGGATAAGAGTCGTTAAAGAGTCGCAGTTGACTACGTCACCTGGAGTCGCCCATACACCACCATGACTCTAGTGTGATGAGATTCGCAGGACTCTTCTTTAAATAAGAGTCAAGTGACTCTACAAACTGGAGTCGTGGAGGAGTCAAATCTGTAGCGCGCAAAGGAGTCGTGGCGACTCTCTTTAAAAAAAGAGTCGAGCGACTCTACAAACTGGAGTCGATTCTGCGGCGCGCCAATACCCCCCAAAGAGAGTCATAGCGACTCTTTTTTTTTTTAAGAGTGTAGCGTGTCTGGCTCTCAACCGAAGGGTCGTGGGTCAGAATCCCGCCTCCGCCCAAAAAACTTCACCTTTCTTTCTTTAAGGCAAATGAATTACTTTATAAAGTGAAATACTTTGAAACATGCGGCGGCCTTTCATTCGCATTACATGTCATGTTTGAAACAGTTTCCTTTCACGCGTGACGTCACGTTCAAACAACGCGCACTCCGTACGTGAGCGTTGTTTGAAGTTCCCCCGCAAGTTCATATGGCTGTGACATCATGACCCAATCGACCAATCAGGATTTTCCCATCCTGCCGACGCCGACGCCGGCTTTTCTGGGAAACGAGCTCATAAACTCTATCGCGTTAAAAACGCCACGTTTGGAGTGCGTCTGTACGTATGGTGAAAAGAATGATGCCTCATTCCCACAGCCGGCTTCTTGCCCCGTCCCGGCGCAAGCGCCGTCGGCGCCGTGCCGAAATGGGGGCGGTGCGGGGACGGTGGAGTGCTCGAACCAGCAGCAACAGAACTGCCGGCGGTGGCTGTGCCCCCTTATATTGGGTGGTAGCATGCGCCACATAGCCTAGAAACCTTTCTGCACCTTTTAAATTCTGCGTTGAACTTTTGTATCCTGAAGACTGTATAACCGGTATGACCTATTAACTTCGTGCGCAATTTCTCACTTCCCTCGATCACTACTATCAATTTTGTAACCCCGAATATGTGGCTACTTTGTGCCGGCGTCTATCACCAAATGCAGCGGACGATCGGCGTCAATGGGCGCCGCCAAAACAGTTTTGGTACTTGGAGCTTGCGTTCGGGTCGCCGATAACGATCAGACATCTATAAAAACTTATTTTTGTCTATACTCTTAAAAACGACAACGACAAAATTGTTTGGCTTCTCCAAACCCTTTTGGTTTGGAGAAGGCAAACCAAAAGCTTCTCCTACTCGTCCGTCGTTTTTAGCGCTTTTAACCCCTAAACATGTTCAACCAACTAGCCCAAATCCAAACCCTTCTGCAAAACGCTCTGTGGTGTGTGTCTCTCCTACTCGTCCGTCGTTTTTAGCGCTTTTAACCCCTAGACAACGACAAGACCCACTCCGAGCACGTTTCCCATATATCACGTCTTACGCCACATTTCGACCCCGATGATCGACCACCGCACGTTCTTTCCTTGGCTGTTCTTCCCTATAATCGCATTTACATCTGTCGCAAAGGAACCGATGTGGTCTCACCATTTCGAGCAGCAGCTCAGCGGTAAATCCAAATCTCTGTATGCCACATTGTACAACGCGCCCGTCGTCCCATTCCTTCCCGACAACAGCTTCGTGGCTTCGTTGTCATCCCCCTTTAGGGCACCCTATACGGTCAATCCTCTATCCCGCGGCCGTGCCCATGGTCACCCAACTTTTGAGAACCCGCCAGATTGGGCGAAAGTTGTCTCTTTTGTAATTGGCCACCCCTCGATGGGGCGGGGCGCCGGGGACGTAGAACACTGACGTTCGGTTCATTTCGGACAGCGGAGCGCGTTGCTTCTATGCTCATGCTGCGCAACCTAGAGGCAACTGCGAACTCACAAAACTGCAGAGTGGTACGCACGTCGGAGTATACACCAACTCATGTTTACAAACAAACCGGAGCGCCCCTAGCGGACGCCACCGGCGCCGCGCATGCGCGATGGGGGTGTGGGCAAAAAGCTCGCCGTCGCCCATAAACAAACCATTGAAATGCGATGTTGTCGGCGTCGGTGTGAGTCCCCCTGCTCTTTTTCGCGTTTGAATTGTTGATTCGACGTCTTCCTGGCGATCTCTGACTACTTGAGCGGTGTTAGCGAAATTACCGAGGCTCGTTACACCGCGAAACTTCGTGTGAATAATGTTACATGTGGTGATTCATTCCGCGTGGACGCCGCAGTTTGTACGATAAAACCTGATTCGCATGATGAGATTTCGCTCGCAATTTTCAGTCGCGACGCCGCTCGGGCAGCAAAAGCTTGTACCGTAGCTGAGATAGTCGACGTCGATACTGAAAATCGCAAGTAGAATCGGACTAAGTCAATTAGGCATAGCAAGTCAGTGATGGTCACTTGTTACAATGATCATCTCCTATTATTTACTGTTTACATCGAGCCTACTTACCAACCTTCAAACTTAAGTCTTTTGAGGCCTGCACTTACTTCGTATAGCAAGTACCGGGCCAACATTTAATGTACGGCCGGCGTCGTCTAAGAGAGCAGACGACAAGCAGAAACGTTTGAAAGAGCAGACGACAGTTCGAACGATCAGGCGGCCGTTTGAGCTTGAAGACGCACTGAACGTAGTCCACAGGTTGTCCGCACAACTTGACAGTTTTCTGGCGTTCATGTTGGAACAAAACAAATAAATCTGATGACCACAAGTGTCCGTGAATTCAACCCAAAGTGCTTCCCGCCCAAGCAATCGTTGTCCGACGGCGTCTGCTTTTCCCTTTTCACGGCACATATCCAGATTCTTGGACGAACCGAGCACGTGAAAACTGACCTTCAAACCTTTCTCGACACTTTTGGTACGGCCCCAGTCGCGGCGTTTTGACGAGAAGGCAGGTTTTTGACTGGTTCTTTCAAAACAACGCAGGAATACACGTCTGGCATGGGGACTTCTGCCCACAGCCCCAGACCGGAAGTGCGACCGACGCGCCACCACCGCGCCGTGACGTCACAGAGATGAGTTGGTGTATAGGCGCTCACCCTCACAGCCCCCTTCCCTCTCCGTAGTTTTATCACGTCCTAGTTGCCTCTAGGTGGCGCAGCATGTATCGTAGGCCACGCCACTACGCTGTTCGCATTTTATTCCTACTCGATAGTACACTTGTGAGAAAAGCTGTCCTGTAGTTAGCGAATTTGTTCTTTTCACCTTTTCTCAAAACCGGAGCGATTTTTGCTAATTCCCGTCCGCGGGAATTTGTCCACTATTCAGGGGCTCATAAAAAATACAGCACAAAAAAGTTGAACATGAATATTTATTAAACTTAAGCCGTGTCGTTGAAATGTTATCTCGGCTAGGAGCATGCGTTTGTTGGGAATAGCGAATCACCTTGGGGACAGCGATTCACCCCGATTGGCAAAAAAATATGGCCGCGATTTATGGGGCAGAGATAAGAGTTCAGGCGAAAATGCTATCTGCTCAGATGGCATTTTAGGGAGAGTTCTGTTCTCAACCTCAATACTTGCTCCATTTTTTTTTATGCAGAACGCTATCATTGGCTTTATCTTTGTTCTGCAGGAAGGTTGACGCAGCGGCCTTGTTCATAAGAAGTGAACTCGAGGAAACACGATATTACGAGGACAATGTACAAACGTTTCTATCCACTGTCTATACCATTTTAACCGCTTTTGTTTTGTAGATGTTCTACTCAACTTGCTGAATTGAAATTGATTAGTAATTCTACAAAAAAATGAAAGCCGTTTACAACCGTCCTGTAACGCCGAATTAGAGCGCAGCTCTTGAGGAGGAAGAGGGAAGGGTACAGAGGGTCACGTGTTCTCGGGGGGGGGGGGGGGGGTGGGTTCACGTAATCATGGGGTGGGGGGGGGTCGCGTGACCTGGGGGGGTGGGGTAACGTGACCTCACGGTTACGCCGACGGCGACGGCGACGCCGACGGCGCTCAACACGGAAACGGGCGCCTCAGAGCTGCGCTCTGAAAACACAGATAGAGATTTTGACAGCATATCTAAACCCTTTCTATAAAAAAAACTCGCTAGTTCTAAAAAAACACAATTTTGAACAGTAATTTTCGGTTTCTCTCAATACATTCTCGGCAACAGGCACACGCCAATCGCCTTGCGCACATACGCAGACATTGTAAGTACACACGGCCCGGAACACTCAAGACAAAAAAAAATTTAGCACCGTTGACTGCTCCATCAACATATAGACGCTTTACACACGCGCCAAATTACAGCCGCCATGGCTGACCTTCTCTTGTCTTACCGAGATGCCGAGCAACTAAAACGGTAGTTCACGATCCTCTACAAAGGCCGATGCTTAGAAAAGGACACAGTTGAATCTAATGTGGCGCGTCGATATGGAGCGCATTCGACGAAGCGAAACCACGAAGTGTCTCACGAACAGCTATCCCCGTTATATCGCTGTAAATCACAAGTTGTCGGCCGTACTGCATTCCCTTGACGACCCCTGTACAACATAGGCATCAGATGCAATTTTAAGTCAAATATTCTGCTATGTATTAAGAATCCTCGTAATAAATGTTAAATAGGTCTTCACTTGTGCGTGGTCCACGTTAAAGACCGCAAATCATAAATAACGCAGCGTGGACCAGGTTGCCGTCTACAGCAAGCACAAATAACTCCGAATGGCGCTGTACGAACACATATGTTGTACGGCACTTTTAAAATGGGGCTCGAACCTCATCTGGCATTGAAAAGGTCCACCCTAGTTGTGCAGAGCCACTGAACTCCAAAAGTAGCATTTTATTCATTAATTTATTTTGATGTTCCCAGATAAAATTAAGAAAGCCAGAAACTTAGGACGTATAATGAATTGCGGCTTCGGCTCAAATTTGTGATTTTCGCCTTGAACATCAGGAATAAGAGAACAGAGTTGCCATTTGGCCCGTGCAGAATTTATAATCGACATCCCTGATCTTCATTTCCACAGTTTCGTAGACGTTTTGGTAGGAACTCGAATAGTCTAGTTTGTGCCAGGTAATACCATGGCCCCTGTTTCTGTACGGAACATGACCTTTGAATTTACGCCCATTAAGATTGGAAAAAAGGCAACCAAAAGACGTCATCCACCAGCCACCACTAATTAGCGAATCTGAGCAAAAATGACCCGTTTCGGCTTCTTTCACGACGAGAAACCTGGTTTGGTTGTGGAACACCAGCCCGTCGTAGTCGTGGTAAGTACCTGCGCAAACACAGTGTGGACGAATCAATAACGTTGTCCACGCTAACACTATTCTGCAGGGTGTTCAAATATATTTTACACAGTTAATAAAAATAATCCGTAAAGGCTGCACTACTGCGTTTTGTGCAAGTGAGTTACACGGCCAGGGGCACATAAAGTAGGAGCCTATTCGTTGCGATTACTTGGGGAATTAACCAAAATTTGTGAATTACCTTTTAATTACTAAATATAAACATATGTTTTCAGTCAGAAAGTTGCTGAGTGTCGTAGGAAAACACTAAATCATTCGATTTTAGAAATACTTTAAGCACGTGGGAAGCGCGGGGATGTGCTTCAATTACAACCTAAGGCCCGTTCGCACTCTCGTAACAGAGTACGACCGAGAGAGACGAGAGCGGTTGAAAGCTCTTAATATTTCTTAGGACGAGAGGACACACTGGCACTCTGGCGCCATCTATGCGGTGACCCTGGAACTACATTTCAAAACAGCAAATGTTTTGCGGGATTTCCGAGATCAAATGTGCGTAATACCTATGAGAAAGGCTCGTTTATTACGTTGACATAGTTTTTCGAGCCAAGAAAGAAAGGATAATGCACGAGAGAAAGAGAAAATATGTCATACCACCAAGTTTACACTGCTACCCAATAGATGGCGTCAGTGTGTCCTTTCGTCGTAAGATGTTTCAAGGCACCCAGTTTTAAGAGCTCGCAAGAGTGTGAACGGGCCTTTATGCAACAGGCGCAAGGCTTCCCGGTGTGCAAACGCGGATGAAAAATTTACATCCACAGTTTCCTAAGTTTTTCATTGGAACCCCAAAATTTAAACGTTTACTTTCTACTCGAATTAAATTAACTATACATAGTACGTTAATTTGTTCTCTCTTAAATTACTGTACCCTGATATGGGGCACACCAACAAAAAGTAATCTAAATAAGTTGCATCTATTACAAAAGAAGGCAGTACGTGCAATTTCAGGAACTCCATTTCTTCATCCCACTAAATCACTATTTAAATCCCTAAATGTAAAACCCGTCAGGCTAATGTATGCTTACAAACTTCTGTCAACGTATCACAGGGTTCTTCAGCACAATAATGTTCATTTTATGAAACTAACTAACCTAAAACATCGCATCATCCTACGCAAGCTAGGACAAAATGAGCCCTGGATGATTCGCCCAACGCGTACAAATTACCTAAATCAGACGCCTCATTCCAGACTGTCCACCATGTTAAATAGTTTGTATAGAAAGGGTCGACATTTAGAATCCCTATCACATAGGGCATTAAAAGAACTTACTTTTCTATGCGATTTTTGAATACTGCTGATGTTTTTGTTATGAATATGATGTATTATTTTATGTACGATTTTATCATTGCTTTAATTAGTCGTGTTTCTCACTGGCCTGCGTATTTTTCGTCTATATGTTTGCATCAAATCTAGTATTGTATAAATCAGGCTTTTTGCATTGGTTTGTACTCGTCTCTGTACACTGTTGTGGTTCAAATTTTTAGTTGTTAAATTGTAATATTAACTGTATTAATGAACAAGTCTTCACCAAGAAAGTCGTAAACGTAACAATTTAACAACGTAAACGTTGTTAAATTGTGTTTAAAACTGTCGCAAAGTGCACGGGGGCTGGGACCTTTGTCAAGCTGCTCTTTAGCAGCTTTTTGTCCGAGTCCCTGCTGTCATGTAAAATGTGACAACAAATAATCTTGATTTGATTTGATTTTCACTAATAAAAAAGTTAATCAACAAATTGTTAATTGTCCGACTTATCTATTTATTTATTTATTTATTTAGATACCTTAAGGACCCCCTTGGGGGTATTACATAAGGGGTGAGTACACAGCGTAAAACAAAAGGGTAGAAAACACGCCAAAAATAACTCGCATACAAAGAGCATAAACACACAAACGTAAAAGGCAAACTATATACATATAGATGGTTCGTACAAACCTAAAGTGGGGACTCTAGCAAGCGTTTTTTTAAATTCTATCGGGTCATGAGTGATGACGACGTTCTCGGGAAGATCGTTCCAATCAATGGCAGTGCGTGAAAGAAATGAATTCTGGAAGGTGACGGTTCTTGCCTTGGGGCGCCTTACGACGTGTTGTGTTGTGTCGTTTACCCGCAGTCTTGGGGTTTTTTCAACCATGTGTTATGTCCCGTACGACGAAGCCGGTGTTCTGAAGATATGATGTATGATGACCGGAGGCACTGGCTGTAGTAAAATTTGTGGAAAAGAGATAGCCCAGCAAGTTTACGACGGACAGAAAGGACAGGAAGGTTTGCACGGATTTTAAGATTAGTTACGCTAGAAAAGGAAGAGTAATCTGAGTAGATAGAACGCACTGCACGATTCTGGAGTGATTCGAGGTTATTGATGAGATAGGCCTGGTGCGGGTCCCAGATGGCAGATGCGTACTCCAGTTTAGGACGGACAAGAGATGAGTAAGCAAGTAGCTTTAGATGTGGAGGGGCTAGCTTAAGGTTACGTTCTAAGAAGCCTAGAGCGCGATTAGCAGTGGAGATAATGGGACTGATATGAGTGGCCCAGGAAAGATCCGATGAGAGGTGGACTCCGAGATACTTATAGTAAAGGCTTTTATGCAGAGGTACGTTATTAAGTGGGTAGGAAAACACGGAGGGGTTTCCGCGAAGTGTAAATGACACGAGCTGGCATTTCTGAACGTCAAGAGACATCTGCCGTTCTTCGCACCATGCTTGAATGCATATGAAGTCATCTTGAATGAGTTGGTGGTCCGAAGGGTTAGTTACTTGGTGGTAGATGACGCAATCGTCAGCGAAAATGCGAATATGCGACGTGATTGATACGGGTAGGTCGTTAATGTATATTAGAAATAGAAGTGGTCCAAGGCCCGATCCCTGAGGAGCGCCTGAGGTAGGGTGACCACCTTCCTACCGGCGACATGCGGGACATCCTGACCCGGTGGGGGGGGGGGGGGGGGGGGGTATAAAAGGTGGACGGTATTTTGACGCCTCATTAAAGGTAATTAACCAACACGCACACTCCGAAATCTTGTGCTGTCCAAAAGCGTATTATACACCTGCGAATGGTTTTGCGACAATTAAGCTAAAATAATTTTCACTCAGTGATATATTCCTTGTTTAATTGTATTTGTAAATATTGTATTAAAGGTGTCTAAGTTGAAAACATAAATATCGACTGCAACACACCCGAACGCATGAAAACGAAATAAGAAACAATACATTTTTTTCGGCTTATTGTTTTCTGTCGATAGTTATTCTTATACTAACATGCTCCTACACAAAATTAGAACCTAATGCTGTTGCTTTTTCGATCGTTGTGAGTTGTAGGCTTTTTTTCCTTGTGTGGCCGTCTTCACTAAAAAAAAAAAAAGCATTCCAAAACAACCCTTTTGCACGACACAGTATGGTTTGCAAATAATTACAATAGTTTATTTTTCAACTTTTGGCGAGTGACTTTCACTTGCAATGTTTTGCCATCAAGGCGAGAGGCGCAACGGCGTATGCGCGTCTGTCTTCTGCAAGAATGATGGTCGCTTTCCGCAGTGCTTGTATATAAAATGGCCTACCATCGAGATTCACACGTTTATCAGCGACCTCTGCTCTTCCCCGTGGCCCGTTGTTAGGAAGCATCATAACTTGCGTAATGGATGTTGCGACAATACAAAATGCGGGACATTTTGAGGATTTGGATATTTCTTGCGGGACGCGGGACACGAGCGCTCATTGCGGGACAGTCCCGCGAGTCGCGGGACGCGTGGTCACCCTAGCCTGAGGTGACTTCGGCAATAGAGGATGATGACTGGTTAACGGTAACAAATTATGTCTATGCGTAAGAAAGCTAATGATCCAGTTCAAAATCGCGGGATCTAAGTTAAGTTGAGTAAGCTTGTATATGAGACGTCTGTAAGGGACTTTATCGAAGGCTTTAGCAAAGTCTAGAAGGATGGCGTCAGTTTGAATGTTAGAGTTGAGTTAACATGCAGGTCATGAACGAAAGACGCGAGTTGAGTTTCACAGGAGAAGTTTTTTCGGAAGCCGTGTTGGGAGGAATGGATATAGTTGCTCTCTAACAAGTGATGAATGATTTTGGAGTAGATGATATGTTACATTAGTTTACACGACACGCTTGTTAGGGAGATGGGACGGTAGTTAGAAGGGGAGCACTGGTTTCCGTTTTTGTAGATTGGGACGATCTTCCCCACCTTCCTGTCGTATGGCAGGGAACCAGTAGAAAGTGACTGTGAAAAAAGCTTTGCCAATATTACGCTAGATATATCTTTAGTATTCTTCAACACCTTTACATTTATTTCGTCAATACGCGCTGATGAAGAAATCTTAAGGGGTCGATGATTTTCACAATGCCAGCCGGTTCAAACGTGATCCCAACCATGGATGTAGGAAAGGCAGGAGAAGCCATAGAAAAAATATCATCGCACTCTTGTGTAAACACTGAACAAAAAAACATCATTGAATTTTTCTGCACATTTATCATCAGGAGCCGAAGACTCATCGTCGTTTTTAAGATTTATTACAATATCAGGTTTAGGATTTACAACTCTCCAAACATTTTTTGGGTTGCTCTGCAGCATGCATGGGAGATCAGCATTATAAAATGCTCGTTTTTGTGTTCTGATTGCACTTCTGAATTGTCTGTCGGCACTATAGAACTTATCCCAGTCCGAGTTGCACTCCGTGGTTTTGGCTTCAGGAAAGAGTCTTTTTTTTTTTTTCGTGCTTAAACGTTTCAGGGTGCCATTAAACCATGGAGCAGAAGCGCTTTCGAAAAATGTCACAGTTGGGATGTAACTTTTAGCTAGTTGTTGCATTTTAGATTTGTACATTGTCCAATCGTCGCAAATGGTCCTATGCGCAGTACTCTGGCATATCGTCATTCTAATAAAATGTGAATAAAGGTTGCGTAGACAATTGGAGCGCTTTAGCGCCATAGAGTTACGGTATTTAACTGTGTATTCACGTGCGCCAAATGTTTCAACTCATCGTTTCCATTCAGAAAAGCCGGGTGTGGTCAAGGAACTCGGGATGCTGGAAATCTAAAATAGTTTGCATACAAAAAACGGGAGCCTTCGGCTTCAAATGCATTAGAGGGTTTTAGAATAGCACACGCTAAAGCTTTGCGTACGCAAAGAATAGCGTCGTTCCCACTGCGCATGCGCCGTGCGCCAAACGTTTCACCTTATCGTTTCCAATCAGAAAAGCCGGTTGTGGTCAAGGAACTCGGGATGCTGGAAATCTAAAACAGTTTGCATACAAAAAACGGGAGCCTTCGGCTTCAAATGCATTAGAGGGTTTTAGAATAGCACACGCTAAAGCTTTGCGTACGCAAAGAATAGCGTCGTTGCCACTGCTCATGCGCCGAACGCTACCCACGTTTCGCGATTTGCGCGCGCTATTTTAGCGTGCGCTATTTTTCGGAAATTGCGCGCGTACGCAGAGTCTTTGGGCTTTTCAAGGAGCATTCGTGGAAAAAAGTTGGTTAAAGCCAAGACGAGCACAGTTACAAAAATGGCGGCTCCCAGGACCATTTCTGCGGCCGCTTTGGCGGCGTTGTGACTGCGACGTCGGCGGCATCCCCGTGACTGCGATTTTCAATGCGGGCTGGTATTGCACGCGGTTTGGAAACGATCACCGGCAACTTGTTGCTTGCGACGCGCGAACGTTTCTCGGCGAAAGTCAGCACACGAGACCTCTCTTACCTAGGGGACGCAAGCGGACATGATCGGTCGACGGCTCGCGTCGCATTCTCCTGTTTAACCAAATCTAAATGATAAAAAAAAAAAAAAACTGCTCAGACTTTACTCAACAAGATTAACAATTTAATCAAACGTTTCGTCTCCCGTCCGGGAAATTCCAATTCCAATCAATTCCAACCGCGGCCCCCTCCCCGATGTGTACGCGGACTTTTATTTATTTATTTATTTATTACATGTACCCCACAGCGCCCGTGAAGGCATTATAGTGGGGGAGGGGCAAAAAGAAGAAAAACAAAGGGCGTCACAGAACATTAAGTAAAAGCACTCAGCCTGCAGCAAGGCATAGAACAACATGAAACCAGCCCTGCGAAAATGTAATTATGTTGCTTAATGTTGCTTAAATAGGACTGTTGAAGTTTTTTCCCTCATTCCTGCTTGTAAGTTTCACTGACGATGTTTCCCGGATGGGAGACGAAACGTTTGATTAAATTGTTAATCTTGTTGAGTAAAGTCGGAGCAGTTTTTTTTTTATCATTTAAGTTACAGCATTTCGTGTGTGAAATAAAAATTGGAACTGTATCTTGGTAACGTTGCAAGCGTGAGATGCTTGGACTTTTGCATCGCGGCCAGGTCGCGGCGGAGAAACGCTATTCTAAAACTCTCTTGCATAGTGTGCGCTAACGCAAGCGCTAAATTTAACGCTAGCGTGCGCTAAACTTGCGTACGTTATTCTAAAACTCCATATTAGCTGCGCCGCTCGTACGCCTCGCCATTTACACCCTTTCGCCAAAACGGTTTAGCTTACATTAGCGTACAGATACAGACAGAGACAGACAAAGCCAGACAGAGACAGAGCCAGACCGAGACAGAGCCATACAGAGACAGAGACAGACAGAGAAAGAGACGGACAAAGAACAGGCCGAGACTAAGGTAGAAAGAAAGCTCAACGCTCAGATTTGCTCCCAAAAGAACATTCCTTTTTACTCGTGTGTTCTGCCTGATATAAAGCCTTCGAGGATTCCTAAATTTAAATTCAAGACAAATGCACATAGAAAGCATCAGATAAAAGAAATATAGGGAACACTTTGGCGAGTAAGGTTTGATTCAAATCGTCATAGCAAAACTGGTCAGATTGAAATCACGATATAGATCGTAATTCAAATCACCTTGATTTTTTTTCTCCACACTAGAAGGAAGTAATAATTACTACTCCGACTTTGTTGGATAGTATTATTAACAATCGTGTTTACTGTTGCGGCGTATGTCAGGTGAAACAGTTAGTAAAGTGGTAGTAACGGTCATGGAGGGCCACCAACTGCTGCCGTGACTACCTTCCTACTACCTTCTTTCTGAAAGTGTGCGAGTACTTGTATATTTTTATCAAACCAGGGATGTGAGGTCGCAACTGACCCGACCACCCGCATCTGGTTGTGTTTCTCGAAGAGCGTAATTAGGTTTTCTTTCAGCGAAGCCAGCTCCTGCTCAGATAAGGTGATAACATGCCACTTTTCCCGTCGCCAGTTACCAGTGATGAAAAGAAAACGAGAAAAGTCTCCGAGGCAGGCTATCAGCCGTTACTGCGAGGTGGCTACTCCGTGTGTTCAAATCCCTCGCAATGTAACTTAAACTGACCTAAGTAGCAGTAGAAGAAAGCCCTGGCTCCTCGTGCTCGTGCTCGGTCCTTTTTTTTTTTTTGTGGGTTTATAAATGATTTGCGTCTAGATAAGCCCGGGATTCAGTGCCGTCTTTTCGCCGACGACTGTGTTTTGTTTGCCAAAGAGTCATGCACTTGCGATCAATTATGTTCGGACAGTAGCCTACAATCTGTGTTTTCCTGGTGTCAAGCATGGCAGATGAATTTGAACGTAAAAAAATGCGTGCGAATGAGAGTAACACTAAAGAAGTCTCCAGTTTTGGTTTGCTATTTTATCAACTCAGTACCGTTTGAAATTGTCACTTCTTATAAATATTTGGGCATCACCATCACGTCTACTTTAAGCTGGTCTGTTCACTTAGAGAACATTATCGCAAAAGCGTCTCGTAAACTGTAGAGTCTTCGAAGGACTATGCGGCATTGTACCCCGGAAATTAAGCTTGTTGCGTACACTACTTTGATTCCTCCATTATTGGAATACGCGGACATTTTATGGGATCCGTATTCGCAGTCATTGATTGACAGACTTGAGGGAGTGCAAAAAAGGGCACTCCGATTTATATATAATGCATACGGCAGGCATACGTCTGTGTTATCCCTTTATGCGTTATCCGGATTAACCCAGTTATCGACCAGCAGAAAAGTGAAGCGTCGAAGTTTTTTGTATAAATTAATACAGGATAAGATTGGATTGAAGTTCGAAGATTATCGTGTGTACAATCTCAGTTGAGTCACACGGCAGAAGCATGACAATCTTCTTCGAGAGTTTCATTGTAGAAAATTCATTTTAACTACTCTTTCTTTCTGAGAACTGTCCGAGACTGGAATGGCCTGCCTCACAACACTACAGGCAGTGCCACCTTCGATTCATTTGTCAGCGCCTTAGATGGAGTTTTAAATCCATTTGACTAATTATTTGCCGAGTGTTACCTCTGTTTATTGGAAAGCGTTTGTACTATATCCCTTTTACTTTTTCTCAACTATGTTTTTTGAAGCCATGTATAACTAGAGCTATGCTGTTGATATGTCACATATGAACTCACATGCCTTGGCCCACAAAAGTAGGCCGGCATTATTATTCAAATAATAAATAAATAAATAAATAAATAAATAAATAACTGGGGTTACAACTAAGCACATCGAAATAATGGTTCCCCCTCCTCTACTTGCGCAGAGTAGGCCCTCAGCTTCTGTCTGCTTAGCCCCTTCCCTTTATCCAGCGCTAAGACCGACACGCTTTACACTAGTGCTACTAGAATTCACAACATCGATCCTAACTAAGCCAGTACGGTGCTAGTCGTCACTTGCTGAGGTAATGTTTAAATTTCTAAAGCCTTGTTCCTAATCTGATAAAACGACTCTTCCAAAACTTGCAGCAAGCACCGACTAACGCAACGCTGCAGGCGATGCGAGCGCAGAGCACGAGAGGAATGATGAAAGGGCCGATATTTACCATTAGGGCTCCAGAATTTGGCGTAGGTCAATCTGTACCTGTCGCTTTTTGGACCGACTTGAAATTTACCATACTGCACAATAATTGTTTCTTTATTCTCTTTTGTCAGTTTGATCCTGAGAACTTGATCGCTACTTGGATGGCTCGTGAGGGCATGAATATTGTTGGTCCCTTTAGTGGAATGTAAGAAATACATTCAGGATTAAAACACCAATACATCCTGCAAAGTAAGACTAACTCATAAATGTTTCTTGAAATTGATTATTTTATGATTGAGGTAAGGCGTAAGCTTACCCCTAACATAAGCTGCAGGAATGAGCATCACATTTTAAACCTGAAACCCAGCATATTGATGGTAAAGACTCGCTGACTTTACTGACCTGGCGTCAGTAAAGTGAATAAAGATGCCTGAATTACCATCCGTTTTAAATACAAAATCCTGCAATCGATGCAAAGTCTCGCTGAATTTATTAACTTCACTGGCCTGGCGTTGACTAGAAAGAAGCACAGGTCAAACCAATCTAAAGATAGTGCATTCAAAAGAAGAAAACAAATCTGCGGCTCAAAGGATAGCGATTCACACGTTTCTTTGATTCATGTAACTATAAATATAATTATATTCTCCCATGGCAGTGGGAGCATATAATAGTTCTATAATTATATTTCTATAAGTGTTTGTGCTCATGATCAAGATGAAGGTGCTAGTCAAACACGATATTACTTCTTCCATTTTCTGTTTAATGCAAGGAGTTTGGCTCACACTACAGTGAATACGGTTCAGACCATCGATCGTAAAGAAAATTTGGGGAAGGGGGGAAAGGGAGGAAATGTTCAGATCTCTTCATAACACGTCATGATTTCCTCCTCACGCCGAACGCGACGGGAAGTTGGGGCTTCAGCTCTATTTTTTAGGCATGTGCTGTTGTGGCTGCTTGGCGCATTGATCTGAAATGTAATGTTGACATTTGTAATCCTTGAGGCCCAATGAAGACGATTTAAGTGTTTTGTTTTATTTTTTAAACACAAAACGCCTTTAGTTTTTCTTTAAGCCAGAACGGAACCGAAGCGCCGAGTTGAGAAGACTAACCAGTCAGCGTCAAAGTGGCGCCATCATGGTGTTCGCCATGTTTCTCTGGTTGCTCTATCATCGGTAAATTAATCATAAACAGAAAAAGAAAAACCATGAGCCATTCCACTCTTTGAAGGTGGATGACCATCGGAGCTGTTTAGCACACGACGCAGACGTGACACAGAATATTGAACTAAGGTACGAAGACATTTATGCACGATCTTCATGGGTGGTGCTTGCCACCCGCCGCCACCTCTGACATTGTCGTTGCCGTTCCCGCGTTGCCCTTCGTAGGCGCGTTGCTCTTCGAAAGTCCGGACTATGCACAACTTCCCCATTACAACGAGAGAAGTCAAGTGAAATTGAAAATGGAGAACGGCGACTTGTTTTCTGGACTTTTTATATACATTCGCGTGGACGACTATCGCCGCCCCAAGGAGCCGGAAAAAACTGGACACGCGCGACGGGACCGCCACCCGGCAGAAAGTAGAACCGCGCGGCGAGACCGCCACCCCAGGAGAAGGGATGGAAACGAGGCACGCAAGCGCTCGGAACGACGACAAAGAGAGGGTTCTGCGAGTTTTAATGCGAAAGCATTAACTGTCTCATGGAGCGATCCGACGTCATCAGCTCTGAAACCGCGCCAAACGGCTCTTAAATCCTTTTCGCTAGCTCCCAGCCATGAAACCACGCGCAAAGCTAGCCACGGCACCTTTTACGCTTGGGTCCCATTGGCCGGCGCACGTCGACGAGGCTCCCAATGGCCGGACATGCAGCTTATAGGGTGGCCGGTCCTTGAAACTGACGGTGTGCGTCAGTTTCACCGACCGCCGACACGTTGGCGCGCGTTCCGTGGCTTCTGCTCGTCTCGTCGCCGACGAACATGCCGCCGCCTCAACATCCACATCGTCGGCAGTGCTTCTGCTCGTCTGGACACCGACGAAATGGCGCCGCCTCAGGCATCCACACGACAAAGGGAGCGAAGAGCGTCGGTGCGTGCTTGCGCATTCACAACTCATAAGAAGTGCTTAGCTGTACCTCGAGCTTTTGTGTTGACGCGCATGAAAATTCCACGTAACCCTAGCCATAAACAGCTTCACTGTAAAAAAAGAACTATACTCCACGACAACTTTTCTTGGCAATGCAGTGGAAGGTACAGGCCCGCGTCCCCTCTCCCATTTTCAGTGTGCGTGGGCTCTCCTCCTCTCCCCGGAAATGGAGGAAAAGGAGAGCCTGCGTACACTCAAATTGGGACAGGGGACGCGTGCTTGTACCTTCCAATGCATTGCCAAGAAAAGTTGTCGCCGAGTATAGTGACGGGCGCTTTTTGACGCTGCTCGCGATTGGTCCCATTAGCTCGTATCGCACGCTAGTTCTGGACATAAGCTGAAACGAAGTACAGAAGCACAGACTGAATCAAGATTAATATAGGGCATTGAACGCAATACATGCTTACTACAAGAATAGCTATTCATTTTTTTTCATCGTAATACGATATATTTATATGCTCCCACAGCAGATGGCGACTCATGATAGTTTTAGGATTGTTTGTATTCATGAGCAGAAGGATATGTTCGTCAAGTGAATATAATACTGGGAGCTAAGTGAATGTAATACTGGGAGCTTGTTTACAATCATAAACTTAGGTATATGAAGGCTACATCACCAGTCGTTGCTGTCATCCAACATAGAGTGAGGTGCAACGCCGCTTATAAATTCGACGAACCGACACGAAGTTAAATGTTCACTGCTCAATTTATTGGGCGAACTAACCACGTGGCGTTACCAGGTAACGTGACGCCACTGTGTCACGTGACACCTTAGTTCCTATCAACGTAATGCCCGTTCACGGGAGTTTGGCAGGCTCCTAGGCATTTTATAGTACTTGCTGGTTGCATTATGTAAGAAACAAGTGCTGCTTTCGTATATTTGTACTTGCCTATCCAGAATGAAGCCGAGGCATTTCCAAATCCATCCTCGTATTCTTCATCCGTTTTCTCGAAGAGGTTCTCTTCGTATGTTTCAGATGCGTCCCGACGTTGAATCACCTGGAAGTCGATTGAAGAGTCATCACGAAGCGAAGTTTGCCTCCAGAATCTTATGCTCCTTAGAGTGTACTTTTGGCATTTACGCCTGAAAATACTTGCTTTTCTCTCACCCGATTAGAGAAACACACAAACACTTTCGAGCTGCCTCGCAAAGGCGGTCTTGGCGCTACCCTTGCGGCCCCAAGCCAAGACCGTTAAATGCAAATTACAGGAGGACAATTAAGACCACGTACGTGTAGGAACGCGAAAGCACACGTACCGTCCTTACTCGAGTAACAGCCGCACTGTTTATGAAGAACAAATTAAGGGTTCGCGTTTCTGCGGAGCACACGGATTGCCAATCACCGCGATCGACAGCATGATTCCAGCGGTTTACAGGACAGAGATAACGTCTTCGTGCGAAGATACCATCTGTGAAGATTGCATCTGTATGAAGACTGGTGCTCTCGAACTAGTTATTTGCTGCGATATTTATGCGAAACTCCATGATTGGCTGTACATGTGCTTTGCGAGACACATGCGCGTCTAAACTGTCCGATCCGACGTGCGAACTGCCGGAACCACGTTCGGAGGCGAGGGTTTTCGTCGCACCGGAGCGTCGGACGGGGGCTCCGTTCGGCGCCGGCGTGCGACCAACTTGCCAGATATCGCCGCACCGTTGTCCGATTTTCGGAGGGCCGCAGCCAATGGCAGCACGGATGGCGCGAAGGTCATGTTGTCATGTGACTTTTGGACCGATCGGATGAGGAGGCGCTACGTGGCTCGGGGAAGCGGATGGGGCGGAGCGTCACGCGACGCGAGTCGTGGTTGTGAAGGAAACGGAGGCCATCGAGTTTTTCCGCGCGCACAAAACGAACAGCTGATTTCGCGCGCCAAAGCAAGCCGACCTTCTGGGACCAATCGATGCCGTCGAAACTCGAATATACTCCGTTCCACCTAACGATGAACAGCAGCAGACGCTACGAGCCATTCCAATGTCATGTGAGTGTCACGTGAACTTCGGGAGAGACGCAGCAATGCGCGCGGTACATAGTCACGTGATTTGTAGGCAGTGCTCGCTTCGATGGGATGGCTCCTAAGGTCCGCTCCGGTCCAACGTTGATTAAGTGATGTTGAGCAGAAAAGTAGCCTCACGGAAAATCTTCACACACGCACACTTTAATAGAATGTAATAAAATATGTTTGTTTTAAATTCAGAAAAATCAAGAAGGGCGAGGGAAGTATTTTCGTTTTCTAGGCTAGGTGGCGCGAGCCCGTAATAAATATAGCCATTATCATCCATTCATATATCCGGTAGAGGGATACCCGAAACTGGGCGGAGCTGAAGGGAGCGACGCAACGACGCGTCGGAAACCATGTGTCGCGAACCGTCCTGTGCGGCGATTCGGAGCAGCCATCTTCCCGACAGTTCGCACGCCGGATCGGACAGTTTTGACGCGCATGTGTTTCGCGATTTATTCATAAATAGTGCGGCTATTACTCGAGTAAATACGGTATGCGTAGCGTATTATACAAGATGCGCGCCCCGCTATCCTCCGCAGAGGCTTGACGGACGGGCTCTAAAAACGGCGCACCCACCGCTCTCCAGAGCGGTGCCGCGGCGCGCGGGCCGCAGCCAATCTGTCGCAGTCAATCCGACTTCATGGGATAGCTTTCGTATTAACATAATTTCTTAAGCTGATTCCTGTTTACTAGTAACAAATCAAGCTGCAGGTCAATTTTGCGTCCTGCTGGTCGCAAACCTCTAAGCCCTGCTCCGAGACTACAACGCAGCCGGTGCTCTCGAATGGTGCCTGTTATATCCCCGGCACACAGCAGTCACTCCTCGGGTCACGAGTCTAATTTCCGTGTGTAGTCGTAGCAAGCAACGACTCTTCCTTTACGTGCACTCTAAGAAAATATGGAGGAAAAGGTAGCGACGGCGCACTTTCCTCCCTTCTACTGACGCGCCCCCAAGCGGACCCGAGAAGAAGGGAGGAACGAAACGTTTTTCTCCTTCTCCAGGCGGACGGGAGAAAGCTTCCGCCCTCCCGATTCATCGACATTCGGTTTCGTTTTTCGGGCACGTCGCGCACGCTGTTTAATAAATGTAATTGAGTTAATTGAGCTTCAGCGGCAGCGAAGGCCGCCTGTAATTCCGTCTCCCAGTCCGAACGTGCAGAACATTTCGGTTGCATTGACGTTTTACCACTAATTTTATCAAACGAGCAAACGAAGCCGCTAGAAACAGCGAAGTTCCGGAGCAGTGCCAGCAGCGCTACGAACCCTGGGCTACGTTTGCCATCTCCGGGCTGCGGAAGCCACGCGGAACCATGAGGACTATGCGGAACAATGAGCCCATAGTGGATGTGTCGACGTTGACGACGCTATGGAAATCGCGGAAACTGCGTCCAAGACATTCAGGTTTTGCTGCCGGGTGCCTAGGTGCCTTCTGTGCTGAGTTCGGTTCTGTTTTCTGATGCCGAGTGCCAACCGACAGTCAACGCCATTCTGTATTTCTGCGTGTCAGCAACATATCAGCAACATCGAGATGGCCGTGTTGTGCGTTGTGAACAGAATACTGGAATTATCGCCGATGTGACCCTGTGTTCCCGTATCAGTGGTGTAACAACAAGATCAGATGACGTGAAGTATCGGGCATTCCTCCCCGACGACGATGACGTCTCGTTCCTCCCTTCTTCTCGTGTCCGCTTGGGGGCGCGTCAGTAGAAGGGAGGAAAATGCGCCGTTGCTACCTTTTTTTCTCCATTTTTACTCAGAGTGTACCTCGTGAGGTGGTTCCGATAGTCGCTATTCGCGACTTCAGCAAAACGGACGCCACCAAGCGGGAAAACCAGGAACCAGCCGGACCAGGTCGCCCCGCGCCCCTCCGCGTCTCTGGTGGCTTTCGCGGATGCGTGTTGTCGGCGCGGTGGCGAACAATGTAATTTGACGAAGGTCCGAAAATTTTTTAAAGTTTGCCTGATTGTTCATTAGTCTGGTGAAGCTTCAGTAGATTGTTTCCTTCCATCACGTGTTTGAAAGCCCGCTTACTCCACAAGACACGGTCGCGTGCTTTCGATTTCTTGGATGCGGAGGAATCACGGAAAAACGTTTTGATTTCTTGACTGTCTCGAATCACATTCAAAGTTACGACTACTTGGTGATTGATAAGTGGTCTCTTTATAAGGATGCAGAACAGTGGACTGGGGACGACAGACGGGGTGTTTCACCGGAGGGAATACTAACGTTACAGTCAAGTAAAGGGAAGGTTCGATAGCTGCTTTTCTTGAGTTTGGCTGCGTTCGATTAGCTTCAAGTCTGAGCCACCCACGCCGGTCGGTGCGTTGGCTATTCATCTTGGCTGCTTTTCGCCGAGAAAGCCTCTGGACCACAACGAAGGAGTTGGACTGATTTTGCAATTACTTGATTCCGGAAAACCTGCACGCTGCATACGATTAATGAGGAAATTGTCTGCTTTAAAAAGGTGGGGGACGCGTCTCGCAAAGTTATAAGCTGTCACGGCATTATGACCTATCGCGCCTCCAATATTTATATTATACCCCCTTCGAAGCCACTTGCAATATACGTCTACATTGTTCAGGTTGACCGGCCACAAAAAAATATTCATTTTCTCCGTCCAGGACTCAAAGTGAAGTTCAGTGCAGAGAGGTTCTGCGTAAGTCTCCGATGAAGGTTCTCTTCAGTTTGTCCGAATTCGTCTCCGTGCTACCGGCTACTACCATTTGGCTGAGTTTAAGTAGTATCTCTCTGTCTGTCAAATATAATTTTATTCAGCAGTTCACTTCATAGCTAGTAAACTAAGCTTATATTTAAACCCGAAGAATATACTAATATTAGTTTAGTGAAGCCCATAGTAAGTAATATAATACATTACCAGTATATTCATCAAAACAACTTCTCGATTGCTACTAAGACATGAATTGAAATACGAGTATCAGGTGCTTAGTGGGGCGCCGGCGGGTTAACACGTTCTTTGACTTCAGAAGCGCTTGCTTAAATTTCGTGATTTTCCTGCAGCCTGTGTTGTTGACCGAGCCACAAAAGCTCGATTTTGCGGACAGATAAGTCGCATGGTCGACGCATGTGAGTTAGCTGAAGTTTACTCTCGGTGGAACCATTTTGTAGGCATCGCCGCTTTCCTTAGCTGATTAAAACTGATTAGAGTCTATTGCCGTCTCTCCGGAGCCCATAGTTTCGGTTTTGAATGAAATCTCTGATACGAAAGTTTGATATGAAAAGAACAAAAAAACACGGGGAAAACAAAACTATGCTCTGCAAGTTTATGTGCACCGGCTACGCGTAACTGTCGCATTTTAGATACCTATAAAATTGGGCATTAAAGAAAAGAAAACCTGTTAAATTCAATGCGCCACCCGTTCAGGCGGCCCGGCCGAGCCGACGCGACCTGGACTCAGCCGCCATGTTTGTTTGGTGGTGGCGCCCCCCCATAGGGCGCTGGAGTCGCGAATTGCGGCTGCGGCTTGCGAGGTACTCTGCTTTTTTTCTTGGTTTGCAATTGCACGGTGAAATCAACGTACTATTCTAGTGTGAAGCAACATGTTTTGTTTTACTTTTGTTAAGCTAAACAGCAACAAAAAGAAACACTTGCGATTCCGAAATGGTTGCTCTGCCTCTCTTAATTACATTTTCCTTTTTCGTCAAAATAAAAAGCAACATTGCGCTTTGTCTTGTCTGTGAATACGTAAACCTCAAGTAAGTGGTGACACTTACGGTCCATCCGCCGCCATTCGTCTCCATGTCACAATACACGGTGATGTTTTTATTATCAGGTTTGATATCATATTCACCGCTCTTGGTGTGTCCTTTCATTAGCAACTGGAAACAACTTACTGTTCGGCCACCAGCTGCAAAAAAATAAAGCGTAATGTAACCGTTCCTTATCAACGTTGCAAAACTAGGGACTGTGCTAGAACCCACCAGTAGTGCGGTCAGCGATGCGACACAGGAATCGCTAGTGTCACAAACTGTCACAGTTGAAAGGGAAAAGGCACGAAAGTACAGAATGTCCCCCAAAAAAATATTTAAAGATATTTTTTTTTACCTCGAAAGTAAATTACACGTCCCCGAACGCTCATTCTCAGCCCAAAGGTGGCCCTAGAGGTCCGCACCAGATACCAAAGTTTCAGCCAGAACCAACATCCTATTCAAGATGTATAAGTAATTTTCTAAGGAAAATTGTGTCCGACGGAGCTTTCGAATGCATGGAGCTCTATGTCACCAGAAAAAGAAAGAAGGCGAAAGTGGGCACCAGCTTCATATTGAAATTTTCAGGAAATCACTTATGCCGAGCGCAAGTTCGTCTGATTCTTTTGCAGGCATTATGCTGGCGTCAAAGCGTCTAGCTCTGATTGGCTCTGGTTAATAGTGGGTAGACCACAAAGCAAGCTGTCTTCAGGTCTACCCACTGTTCCTCAATCAGAGCCAATCGAAGCTTCCCGTCCTAACATGACCACAACTTATGCAAAAGAAGCGACGAACTTGAGCTGCGCATAACGTTTGAAGAAGATATCGGTTCGGGCTGAAACTTTGGCATCTGGTGCCGACCTCTAGCGCTACCTTTTGGCAGAAAACGGGCGTTCGGCAATGTGTAGTTCATTATAGCGCTAAAAGCAACCCCGTAATTTATTTATTTTTTTCTTGGGGGGGCCCCCCCCAAAAAAAATTGTTACTTCATTTGTTACTTCCTTGCAGTTACGAAGCTAAAAGAAAAAAGCGAGTCCTAAACTCTGTTTTGCCTAAAGGGCATTCATTTACCTTTTAACTTGGTACATATTTTTCTTGAAACAGATGTCACCGAACGCAGAAATACGGGGAAAAAACATATTTTTCGATCTCTGACGTATTGGGCATAATTGATTCATTGGAGCGTTCGAGCGAAGCGGGTGGCCAACTGGCTGCGGGAAACAGAAAACGAAGCAGGAAAACATATCTGTTTCACCCGTCCAAAGAGACGAGCTGCAGTGAAGGCAATCATCTAGATTTGGGGAATAACCGCAAATATTGAACGCCATACACCTTGCCTCCGGAACTCCTCTCTATTACCTCACCATCAGCTTTCCTACGCCTTGGACCTGGCGTGGCAGGCATCAGACAGCGGCTTATGCAGATCACACGTGTAAGAAGTGTAGTTACTTTTAAGTAAATATTAATTGTATATAGATAACTCTATGCTGTATTCATTTGTAATATAAATTACTACAATATAGCCCTATCAAGCAAAGTAACTTGTCATGTAATTTAGCTATAAAGTAAACGTGATTTGTCACCCCTGCTCACGTGCAATGCTTTTGCGTCCCGCGGGCATTGTGCCGCTCCCACTCGTTCGCCCCGGACACAATGACCGCTATATTCAGCGCCACCAGGCTAAATTCCGCTCACTGCGGTCGCCTTCAGCACTTTTGCTTCCCGGGACAAAAAGAGGCGCTCGGCTGGCCGTTCCCAGCGCTGCGGAGAACCACAATCGAGCTGCCGTGGAAACAGAGCCATCGACGCTCGCGAACGCGGCGACGCACACACTGATCCGCCAGTCTTCCGCTCCGGTATTCATCTGGCCGTCGCTTGAAAGAAACACCTTCTAGGCGGAAAGAGCTCACATTACAGGCTTATTTGCATTTAGAGGGAAAAAAGTCAAAATTACATTGGATATGCAGCAAGTATAGCGAGAATACGATATATCTCAAAAGTATAGGAAAATTTATATCTCGAAGCAAACTGCGCGACACTGTTAGCTCGAACAAGTGATCCCCAAATTTTCTTCTGCCTCGCTCCTAAAATCTAAAGATTATCGTTAAAATTACTAGGACTCCGGTAAATCCTCACTGATGAATCTCACGTAACTGGTAAAGTTTTGTGCCTGACAAAGACCTTTCGAAGTTAAACTTTAAAATGAAATGTCAATCTCTTGTTCGAGCTAACTGTGCCGCCCATTGTACATTACGCCCGATGTGTTGCTACAATTAACCATAGAGCTGCTTATTCAACAACACTGTTCCTTCTACGTGGTTCAATAGAAAAAGTGGTCTCACCTTTGTGCGTATTGCAAGGGTCAAATATCGTGTAGGTTTTTCCATATTCTCTTCTTTCAGTTACTTCCGGAACTTGCTTGGGGCTGCTTTCCGTAAAGACGTTCCCGGCTACAAAGGGGAGGAAAAGGACCGCTACGAACATGTCGCGATTTTTTGTCGGCGGTTCAGAGGTTCGCATAGGTCGTAACCAACGCTATAATATGATTTCTCCCGTCTTATATAGCATGAAAATTTCCCAAGGATAAACAAGATGAACGCATGCAGCATACAACAAAGAATAAAAGAAGAAATTTCAACTTGAAAAAATTCAGTTTAATTGGGTGCATTGTGTTGAAACACAATGGAAAGTTTGAGCAGAGCACTAACGTTGACTATGCTAGACAAGGCAGAGATCCGGGTGCGTGCCAGCTGTGATTTTAAAACGCGTTTCCTCTATACTTCGTTTCAGCTTCGGTCCGAGCGCGGACGATGTTATGAGCCGAAGTGCCAATCAAACAGCGCAAAAGGCGCAGCGTCATGGTGTGCTCTCTGTGCTTGATAGGACAAGCAGGCGGAGGAACGCGCACAGGGAGGCGGTGAATACCGGCTGGTCCTATCACTGCAGAGAGTACGCCATGCCGTTGTGCCTCTTTGGCTGTTTGGTTGGCCCTTCGGCTCATAACATTGGCCGCGCTCGGACGCAAGCTGAAACGAAGTTTAGACATCTTCGGCGCTTATCAACCGGGCGATCAATGCGGAGTCACCAAGCTCTTGACGCAAGCAAAGCGTCTGATATGTTGTACAACAGACCTAGAGCGTATGCTCACAAGGCGTTTCACAGCCCAGCAGGCTCAGATGTGGAAGCGCTGAGAAGGCCATTTTTTTAAAGGCTTTCAGACCGCTTTTTTCTGACGACCGCCATGGTGATTTTTGATGTAGCTAATTTGGGGCAAAATAGCGAATCCCTTAATTTGCCGATTGGAAGTCGCCAGAATTCAAGGGGTTCGTGCCTATAGTGCTACTTTTGTTTCATGGCTGTACTTGTTTATCGTAGCTGCGCTTAAACTCTTTTTTTTTTGTAGAAGCCTATTCGAAGCACGTCAAAGGCAACCGTAACATGAACACGATCTGCTGCCAGCCGGCAACAGCGAGGTGGCGCCAGCAGAGTGAGTGCCCACGGTTATACCCTGTCTCTGCAGGACTTGCAGTCCACACTCACGTCGAATCCTTGAAGTCGAAGACTCCACCGCGCGAGACCTCCTGATGGATCCTTCAGGTTTGCGAGCCAACAAAGCGAGTGGTGGTCTGTGACCACTCAAAACGGGCTTCCGTACAGGTACGGGCAGAATTTTGTGATGGCTCAGACGACGGCAAGACATTCCTTCTCGCTCGTCGAGTAAATCGTTCCGCGTTCGACAACATCCGACGAGCGTAGGCGATCTCGCGCCCTGTACTTTCCTGTCGTTGGAACAGTACCGCGCCGAGTCCTGTATTGCTGGCGTCCGTGTGAACTTCTGTTTCGGTTGATTGGTCGAAGTGGTCAAAAATCGGTGGCGACTGGAGTCGTCTTTTTAGCTCGTGGAATTCCCGTTGTTGTTCTTCTCCCCATTCGAAGTTCACGGCGTCTTTTGCGAGGTACGTGACCGGCGCAGAAAGCTTGGCGAAATCCTGGACGAACCGCCCGTAGCTCACTCCTAGTCCCAGGAATCTTCGGACGGCGTTTTTGTCGGTGGGCGGAGGATATGCCGCGACGGCGCGAGCCTTCTCAAGATAAGGACGAACACCTTCGTTGCTCACATGGTGACTTACGAACTTCAGTTCGCCATAGGCGAACAGGCACTTCGTCGGCTTGAGGGTGAGTCCGGCGTTCCTGATTGCTTGAAGAACGACCCGAAGCCGTCGCAAGTTTTCGTCGAAGTTGACCGAGAATGCCACGAGGTCGTCGAGGTAAACGATACAGCTGTGCCATTTGAGGCTTGCCAGTGCGGTGTCCATGACACGCTGGAAAGTTGCCGGCGCCGTGCACAGTCCGAAGGGCATCACCTTGAACTCGTTCAGTCCATCGCGCGCGGCAAAGGCAGTCTTCTCTCGGTCCCGTTCGTCGACTTCGATCTAGCAGTAACCACTCTTCAGGTCCATCGACGTATCGAGATTGGCGCAGCCGGTCCAACGTGTCGTCGATGCGGGGAAGCGAATACACGTCTTTCTTCTTCAACGCGTTGAGCCGCCGGTAATCCACGCAGTGGATTACCGGCGGCTCAACGCTTTTTTACCAGCACGGATGGAGAGGCCTGAGGGCTGCTTGAAGGCTGAATGACATGGCGTTGAGCATTTGTTGCACTTGTTGATGAATGGCCTCTCTTTCCTTTGGGGAGACCCCGTACTGCGACCGATGCACAGAGAGCGCATCGTCGTTGAAACGATGCGATGTTTCGCAAATATAGTTCGGCGCACTTTCGACGTAGTTGCAAAGCAGTCGCTTAATTCGTCAAGGAGATCTCTGAGCTGTCGTTGTTCCGTGGCACTGAGCTTGGGGTTAACGTCAGGCTGCGGTGGCAGAGTACTGTACGGCTGAGATGGCGAGGGCTCGCCCGAAATAGCGGCGATTTCGGTGACGTCCCGTAGTTCCTCGACTACAGCGGCAGCTTTAGTGAGGTGCTGCGCCTCCTCTCGAAAGTTCGTCGCGAGGACCACTGTACGTCCATCCTCCAGCTCTCTTACGCCGTGTCGACGCCTATTTCTCTTCCGAGAAGCAGTTGGACGTTGCCTTCAGAAGAACTTCCCCGCCGGCGACTGCATCGGTCACGGCGGGCAAAATGACACTTGACCGCTGCGGCAAGTTCACGTGGTCCGCAACGACTGGGATAGCGGCTGAATTCGTTGTGGATTCCTCCGGAGGTAGGACGGGGTTGCGCAGCGCCGACCTGTTCTCTCCATTGTCGATCACGGCGCCGTATTCAAGCAGGTAGGTAGTCCATGCCAAGTATGACGTCTCTCGCACAGTCGTAAATGACGACGAACTTCACCGTGCAGGTTTGACCATGAATTTCAACGTGAGCAGTGCACCTCCCGGCAGGTCTGATGAGGTGCCTTCCGGTGGTTCGCATCTGCGGGTCATCCCATGGCGTCGTTACTTTCTAAAGGCGGCGAGAGAGCATCCCGCTCAAGGCTGAGTAGTCTTCCGGCGTCCACGAGAGCCGATTCGTTGTGGCCGTCGATAACAATGTTTAGGTTGTTGGGCACCGTTGCAGGAGCGTCGTTGCGGTGCGTGAAATCGAGAAAATGGGAGCGCTCCGACGTTCTTGCAGGCTCTATACTTTGGTCGTCTTCAGAGACGCCACCTCCAGGTATTGCGGCATTTAGTTTTTCTGACGAGGCAGGAGAGACAGCCTTTTTCAGCGGGGTCGTCGCGCTGGAGATGCCGAACGTCGTGGCGATGGTGAGCGGGACTCACGGCGTAGAGACGGCGCCGGGGATGGCGAATGTCGATGGTACTTCTCGGTGTCGCAAGGGCGTTCGTCGTACCTTTGGCGTGGGTCGTCCGGCTGGATCCCACGCAACCCCACTTGTCGGTACTATGTAGGGGCGTCGACGGTAAATGTGGTCGGCTTTCCCTTTGTGGTAGCATAGAGTGCGTCGGTCCGTTGTTGGCCACACGTCGGTTTTTCTCGGTGAGGGTGGCTCTGGGCGGACGTAGTGGACTTGTTGTTCTCGGCGTCAAGGATAGTGCGCCGTTCAATTTTCCAGTCGGGATGGCGCCTGGTATTGACGGGTAGCAGGCGAAGCTTGTCGGGCCATGGCAGTAGCTCAGCGTCGCCTACTCTGGCACCACCGCGGTGACGGGGACCTCTGGTTGGAGCGCACGATGAACCTCTCCGCGGACAACCTCGGCGATGGAGAGGGATGCTAAAGGACCACGGCAAGCAGCAAGTTTCTGATCTCCTCCCGGACGACGTCGCGGATCATCTGGAGCAGGATTTCAATACCGACACAGTCGACGTTAAAGCGAAATGTTGAGGAAGCGGAAACAGTCGATACGCCGGCGGGACTTAAATAATGACCAGCTCTTGCCGACAGCACTCAAGCGATGTTGATCGCCTGGGTGACAGAATCCTCACCGGTCGTCGGGTGGTTGCGGACAAGTCAGCCGAAGATTTTGCTCGCCACGCCTTTCACGAAAAAGCGCAACTTGTTATCTTTCGTGGCTTGCGAGTCGGCGCGAGCGCTTAGGCGTAGCACATCTTCAACGAAGACGGTTACGCTGTTGTTGGGGACTTGGTTTCTTGTTTGAAGCGGATCCACCGCCCGCTGTCGTCGCTGTTGGCGCATAAAAATTCGCTTCTACTCGGTCACACAGATGTTCCAATAAGCGAAGCCTCGTGGTTCTCCAACTAGTTATTCGGGGGGCCCTCCAGCGGAAAGTAGAGGTTCTGAAGGTACTACTCAGCAGTCCATTCGTTGTGGCGTGCCATGAGCTCCTATTGCTGGATCCAGTCCCCGAGATCCCCGTGCATCTCGCCGTGGAAGGGCGTAGGCGCACGAGGAGTGACTGGCAGGTAGACGATGGAGGGCGCGGTCGAAGCAGGCGGCGTCATCGTTTTATTATTTTTGGGTTTGGAATGGCGTGTCCTGCACCTCCACCAGAAATGTCACGAATGACATGAGCAGAAGCGGCCACAATCCCGTTTGGAACTGGAAGTTTAATAGGTCGAACTTGTGCCAACGAAATGGAGAACGAGCGTCGAGACAGCAGAAAAGCGGGCGGCGATCTGGCGGCGTAACAGCAAGCCAGAGCAAGACTGGCTTGAAACGATCAGGCGCAGCTCCTTTTCCAGTGTGAGCAGGAGTCTCGAAGCTTTGAGCGTCGAGCATTCGGGATGAAAATGAACAGGCACTTTCGAGAACAAAAAAGGGGGAGGAAATTAGAAAACTTACGTCCCGAGTAAGAATAAACACGAAGCTTCTAGAAGTCCCTGAACAAGCGTTGCTTGCTCGGTCCCGCGGGCGGCAGTATTACTTAATGTTTAGGTCATTTACTCTGCCTTCTTGGCTAATATATGTTAACCTGTGAAAAGTGAAAGACAATTTGCCTGCTGCGGCAGAGTGAAGTTTTCTTTATAATCCTCGCTGCTGCTACAGCCCAAGAATGGGAAATTGGGTGCTAATAGTATTATTTCTAAGAGCTGTTTATTGTGATTTTAATAACTAGAGACACAAACTGCTGTACGATTATTACACCTGCCCACTCTCTGGAGGCCG